GAGGCACAAGGGTCTGAGATTTATATGTAAATGCTTGAAAATAAAAGAATATCAAGAAAAAAAATCATTGATTTGGTTAAATATTCATAAAATAAAATGTAACACTTCTAAATTACAATTACATTTGTATGAAATGAAATTTTTTTGGTAAAATACTTTTCAAATTTGGGGGGAAAAAATAGTAACCATATTCCTAAAGGAAATTCTTACTTGTTATAACTAAAGTATGAATACTTTGAAATATACTCTTGAAATACATGTTTCCACATAGAAGCATTCAAAGATTACCAGAAGATTTTTTAAAAGAAAGTTTTAAAAAAATGTTTTCTTTGACCTAAATAGAAGTCATGTTTAATCTTATTCAGAACCAAGATTATACAAGCTGAATATAATCATTCTCTTTATAAATACAAAAAGTACCTAATTTATTATCAGTTGAACCAGAACAGATTACTTACAGAAGACAATGTTGATTTTTAAAAACCATAAAAAACTGAAGTGACTTACTATGTAAAGTGAATTACACAACTATACAACAAATTAGTGGGTACATACTAAAGGTGAAAAGAACCACATTAAATGCATTAAAAACTACTTAAACAATAAGTAGTTTCCATTATTGGTTATAATCTTATGACTATTGTACAATGAGATTTAAATAGCAACAGAGAAATTATAAAGCAATGTATGCTAAAACAACAATTTAGTAACTTGAGTGCTGAAGGTATAGTTCAATGGAGAGTGCTTGCCTAGTATGTACCAGGGTTCCACTCTCAGCATAAAAAATAAAAATAAAAATTTGAAAAGTCAAAATAAAATTAGTAACAAGTTATGATGAACAACAAGTAAGGTAGTAGCTCAGTGGCAGAGCACTTGCCAAGCATGTGCAAGGCACTGGTTTGATGCTCAGCACCACACATAAATAAATAAAGATTCGTTGACAATTAAAAACTTAAAACATCAAAAAAAAAAAAAAAAAGAGCTGAGATTACATCCCAGTTTTTTGGTACTTCCAGTCTATGTGATTAATGAGGTATAGTTTTTACAAGAGTCTTTGAATTATTGAAAAAAAACCAGCAGCAGTGGCAGCTTCCCACTATTCAGTCCCTTCAGCTACAGGAGAGGAAAAAGAAATAACTGGGTAGGAAATTAAACTAAATAAGGTCATTTCAGTATATATATAGTCTTTAAAAAAAACTCCAATCTGGGCTGGCGATATAGCTCAGTCAATACAGTGCTTGCCTCACAAGCAAAAGGGCCTAGGTTCAATCCCTAGCACCACCAAATCTGAAAGAGTGTGGCACAATGTATAAAAACAAATTCATAAAGCAGTGAAGTACTATCTAAAACAAAGTTTTCAAATTCTGATGAATATCTAAATAATGTGGATAACTTGCTTAACCACATATGGCTAAGTACTATCCCAAATGTCTGGAATCAGAATCTATGAAAATACAGTTAGGGCCTTTTGTAGCTTGGCCAAGCCCCCCAGGGGATTATTATAAACAGCCTAGCATGAGAATTGTTGTATGGTTAAGGACATAATCTTCAGTAGCAAAAAAATCTTGAGTTCAAATACGGATTCTAACACTTACCAGAGCTGTGACCATCAACTAGCCGCCCTAACATTTTATGTGGGTGAGGGGGTACTGGGCCTTTAACTCAAAGGCACTTTACTACTAAGCCACATCCCAGCCCTTTTTATTTTTCTATTTTGAGACAGGGTCCCACTAAGTTGCTTAGGACCTAAATTGCTGAGGCTAGCCTCGAACTTGTGATCCTCCCGCCTCAGCCTCCCAAGTCACTGGGATTACAGGCATGTCCACACCTAGCTACACTATTTCTATAAAATGGGGGTAGGGGAGAACTGGGCATAGTGGCAAATTGCTATAATCCCAGCTATGTTGGAAGCTGAGGCAGGAGGATAAGTTTGGGGTCAGTCTCAGCAACTTAGCAAGACACTACCTCAAGATAAAATCAATAGGGCTGGGGAGTTAGCTTCGTAGTAGAGCACCGCAAAACCTCAAATGATTGTTTTGAGGACTGAAGATGCCAATGCATGTAGAATACTTAGAATAATTCCTAATGCTTACATTCGGTAAGTATTCAATGATTTCATTCATTTAAAAAATATTTACAAAGCATTTACACAGTATCAGGAGATGAGGAACAGCTAGTTAATTTATGTATTAATTAATATGGCAACTCTGAAATGGTGTCCTGAGAACATATAATCAGGACAATCTATCCTCATCAGCAAAGTGTTCCCTAAAGTGAGTTCAATGATGAATAGATGTTACTGGATGAAAAGGAAAGGAAAAGCATTTCCAGACTCAGAGATGTTTCCACAAAGTATAACCAAATGCCATGTATCCGAAGAAAGAAAGATGGACAAGGTAATCAAGGGAGAAAGGGAATGCCAGAAAGCACCATGGAGATGAAGTTAGAAAGGCAATCAGAAGGCCAACTAAAGGGGTTTACAGGGCATTTCAGTTTATGGAAAAAAACAATGAGAAGCCACTGAAAGATTTTAAACACAGATACAATATGATTAGGTCTATGTTTTTAAATACTCAGTCTAGCAAGTTAAAAAAACAAAGGTGGCCAAAGTAGATGCAGGAAGTTAATAAAGCAGCTCAGAGGAGAGATGATAATGGTGGCTGAAACTAGAAAATGAGAGTTGAAGATCTCTCTTGAATCAAGAGGTACTAAAGTGACAAAATAAACAGGATTTCATGAAACCATGAGACATGAGAAAAGAAATATCAAAAATCAACTCCTATATAATGGGTTGGAAACACAACTAATGGACCTATTGTTTTTTCTTGAAGGGGCAGATCATGAATTTCAAATGTGAATCTGAGTTTTTTATTCTCAAATACAGAGTTGATTTGTATAGAAATATTTCATTATATGGAAGAACAAAGTGCCTTTATTTATTTTGGGGGGTGTCTATCAATCTTAGAGACAAAAGTATAGGTTTCTGCAAGTGTAAAGTAGATCTGAACAGAATGAAGACCCATATCTTACTTTCAGTTCCATTCCTTTACACACATCTGAGGAAGGGGTTGTGGCTCGGGTTTGATCCCCCACGCCACACAAAAGTAAACAAATAAAATAAAGGTATTGTGTCCATCTGCAACTAAAAAAATATTTGAAAAAGAAAAGAAGAAAAAGGCTTACAAAGTCCAAAAGGAATATTCAAAAACGTGACTTTCAAGCCACCAGAACATGAGTAGGTTTTATGTCAGGCTAGTTTGAAGTATTTTTTTTTTAATATTTATTTTTCAGGTTTTTTTTTGGCGGACACAACATCATTGTTTGTATGTGGTGCTGAGGATCGAACCCTGGCCGCACGCATGCCAGGCGAGCGCGCTACCGCTTGAGCCACATCCCCAGCCCGTTTGAAGTATTTTGGTTAAACTATCAATTTTTCAGAACAGAGACACGCAATTTAGAAAACTAACACTTTTTAAGTGTCATCATATAAATAGTTCCTGAAACTAACATTTTTTAAGTGTCATCATACAAACAGTTCCTGAATTTGATGGGCAAAAAATATTAGCTGGCAACTTTTAAGTCACTACTGACATGGCACTTTAAAGTCCAGTGAGTCTGGCGGCTCATCAAGCCTATAGAGAAGTAGATTTGATAACAGTGGGTGTTTAATTACTCATCACAGATATGCGGTAGAATCCCAAGAAGTTTTGCAAGCTTTATAGGTCTAATCTTCATCTTTTTCTCTCACTTAGAAAAACAAAAGTTCAGAAACCACCGACCGGGTGGGTTTTAGTCTTAACAAAACATCTGCCCCACCCACCCCACACACAATAACCATCCATTCAAGAACTACAGGATACTGTCAGAGAAGGACACCGGGAGAGTAAGGCCCTGGTAGGTGAACCAGGTTACAGGAGCCGGACCTCAGAACCGAGGGGAGCTGTCTCACCCAGTTCCGGAGTAGTGTCCTGTTTCCCAAAAGGGTACCAAGATCTCCACCACCGAAACCCGAGCTCCCGCGCTGGCGCGGACGAGTCTCCCTCCCGAGAGACCACTCCGATCCCGAGTCACCCGTAGCCTTAAGGCCTCTTCGGCGGACTCGGGCCTCTCGGATCCGCTCCCTCCAGGTTGCCGCTAGCCCAGCCAGTCTTCTCTTAGGCGCCCACCGCCCGGCCGGCGCGGCCTGCAGCCCGTCACTAGGCAACAGCCACCAGCACGGTGGCCCCTGGTGGCCTAACCCGCGCACGGGTCCTTCCCCATTCCCTTTTCTCCCACTGGAGGCCCAGGTGAGAGCGCGACCATAGAGGGAGCTCGCCCAGTGTCCGCAGCCGGGCACTTACCTCTCAGCTTTCGGCTCTCCGCCCGGGAGGGGCGGTGCTGGGGCGCGTTCCCCCCGCCCCCCCTAAAGGCGCTCTGGCTATTCCTGCTCGGCCTCCGCGACTGGCCGCTGCCGTCTGCTTACTCCATAGTCTCCGCCAACCCAGTGGCCGTAAAGGCTGCAGCGGGAGGAGGAAAGGGGGAAGGGAGGGAAGGGACCGGGGAAGAAGAGTATGGGAGGGGAAAGAAGACCGAAAGACCTGCCGGCCCGGGCATGACGTCACTTCCGGTTGCCTCGGAAGGGGCGGGACCTGGGCTTCCCTCCGCCCCAAGAGTCAGGTGGGGGCGGTGCTATAGAACCGGAGGAGGAGCAGGTGCACAAGATTCCGGCGGTAATTTTAACTCCGCGGTTCCGTAGTCCTCTGGGCCGTAGCGGAGCCGGCCGAGATTCGTGAGCCTTAAAGGTGGCTAATGCCGGAAAAGGAAGACTGGCAGGACATGTAGTCTCATACATCCTAACCAAATGTACAGTGATAGTAGCGGATAGCAAGCAGGTGAGGGGAGCAGATACCCGGTTCTGGGATTCCGCCCCTTTCCTAGACCCGCCCCTTCCTGGGCTACCTGCCTTCCCAAGCCTAGGACCCAGACCCCAGACTTATCCTTTTCGAGGTTATTTTCGTAAAATGCTCTTGGAGGGTCCAGGAAAGCAGCGCTTCTCAAACATGCATATGAATTACCTGGAAACCTTTTTAAATGCGGATTCTGATTCAGTTGAAGGGTCGGATGTTCTGCGTTTCTGATTTCCAAATGACAGCAATGCTGCTGTTCCCTAGGTTACGCTTAAGTATCTTGCCTACTTATTTAATAAAAGAGAGGTAGATTACTTACAGTTTTTTGTTATGCCTCAACAGACTTTTTAAACAAGAACATCTTACAGACAAAATGATTAGTTTCATTCAGTTCTTTCCCAGATTTCTTTGAGGAACAAAAGCTCAGAGAAATAACCTCCCTTTCTCCTGCAAGCCATTGGGTACCACCCTCCCTCTGACCTCTGCCTCTCCTGACCAAGCTTCCTAGGATGAACAGAGGGACGACTTCCTTGACAAAAATAATTTGAAGGTGATGAAATTTTATTTCTCTCATATTGTCATAAACATTACTTTGTAAGACCAAGCATACTGTTTCCAGTTAGTCAAGGGAGAAGAGAGCTTAAATTATTAGATTGCATCCCAAAAAATATCTAGGAACAATGTTCCAGATATTTCAATTTATTCTTTTTCTTTCTTAAGATTTTTCAATTAAAATTTTACTAGGGTAGGGAAGAATGGGGAATGACTGCTAACTATATCTCTCATAGTAATGAAATAATCTGGAATTAGATAATAATAATGATTGTATAATGTTGTGAATCTACTACAAAACACTGGATCATACACAGCAAAAGGGTAATTTGGGCTGGGGGTTATCTCAGTGGTAGAGTGCTTCACGTTCATGGCCCAGATTTTATACCCACCATTGCAAAAAAAAAAAAACAGAATTTTTGTGCTATATGAATTATATCCCAATAAACAGTTTTTACAGTCTTCAATTAATTAAAAAATAAAAATTACATATGCACATTATAAAATTTCCGAAAAGTGAACAACCACTTTCATTAACTACATTACAATACTATTACCCTAAAGTTACTAGTTTGAAGATTATCCTTCCAGATCTTTCTATTTGTGTGTAGGTTTTAGGATCATAGTTTAGAAATTATTCTGCTTAGTTCATGGTTTTTGTTTTATTTTGTTTTGGGGTTTTTTTCATATTTAATGAGGTCTTTTCCTGACATAAACTTAGTTTTGTTTCATCCTACTATTCAATAGTAAGGCTATGCCATAATTTATTTAATTATTTTCCTGGTGATGGACATTTTAATTTACAGGTTTTCATTATTTCTCAGCAATTTTTTTGGGGGGTACCGAGGTTGAACTCAGGAGCACTCAACCACTGAGCCACATCCCCAGCCCTATTTTGTATTTTATTTAGAGACAGGGTCTCACTGAGTTGCTTATTAGCACCTTGCCATTGCTGAGGCAGGCTTTGCACTTGCTATCCTCCTGTCTTAGCCTCTGGAGCCGGGGCTTACAGGCATGTACCACAGCTCTCGACATTTCTTAGCAATTTTTTAAAACAAGAATAGTTGACATAAGATAGAAGAATGAATCAGACATAGCTTTCCTATGTTCATATATGAATACACCACCAGTATTCATGTATAACCACAAGACCAGGATCCTAATTAAAACAAGTTGTATTCCATATATTATAATATATCAGAATACACTTGACTGTCATGTATGTAGGAAAAAAGAGAGAGCTGGGCATGGTGGTGCAAACCTATAACCCCAAAGGCTCAGGAGGTTGAGATAGGAGGATCATGTGTTCAAGGTCCACTTTAACAACTTAAGCAGGCCTTAAGCAACTCAGCCATACCTGTCTCTAAATAAAATATTTAAAAGGGCTAGGGATGTGGCTCAGTGGTTAATTAAGCACCCCTGGGTTCAATCTCAGGTACCAAAATGAATAAATAAATAAAGTTGACAAATTGATTTTATTCAGTTCCTTGCCCCAGATTCTCTTTGAGAAACAGCTTGTCATTGGTCAAAAAGGCAAAAAGAAGAAAGAAAAAGCAAAGCCCCTGGTGAGACCACAGCGCCATAATAATCAAGACTTGAATGTATCCGCTTTCCTTTTAAATGTATTCTAAAGTAATGTTCTTCAAGGTATAGTTAGTAGCTAATCATTTAATGTTAAAAGTATATTAGCAGGCTAGGGCTGTAGCTCAATGGTAGAGTGCCTGCCTCACACGTGTGAGATACTGGGTTCGATCCTCAGCACCACATAAAAATAAAATAAAGATATTGTGTCCACCTATACCTAAAAAAATAAATATTTTAAAATAAATAAATAAAGACAAAAAATACTGTATTCATTTACATTAGCTTACACAATAATATATTTCATGTCATTAAATTAAGTTCCTAGATTTACTCATTATTGACAGACGAATGTGGTGAAACTTATAGTTAATACATTGTAGTTTGCATAAGATGGGAGATGAAACTTAAAGCCATTAGTAGCAGATATGCCATAAAAAATTTAGTTTAGATAAAAACTAAGTTGTTAGCTGGGCATGGTGGTGCACACCTATAATCCTAGCAACTTGGGAGGCTGAGACAGGAGGATTACAAGTTCAAAGCCAGCTTCAGCAAAAGCAAGGTGCTTAGAAACTCAGTGAGACCCTGTCTCTAAATAAATACAAAATAGGGCTGGGGATATGGCTCAGTGGTTGAGTGTCCCTGAGTTCAATCCCCAGTACCCCGCCCCCACAAAAAAAAAACTAAGTTGTTAAAACTGAAAAACTTCTTTTTTTTTTTTAAAGAGAGAGAGAGAGGGAGAGAGAATTTTAATATTTATTTTTTAGTTCTTGGCGGACACAACATCTTTGTTTGTATGTGGTGCTGAGGATCGAACCCGGGCCACACGCACGCCAGGGGAGCACTCTACCACTTGAGCCACATCCCCAGCCCTGAAAAACTTCTTTTTGAGTAATTTAAATTTGTTAGGGTCATGTGTGGTGCTGCACACCTGGGAGACTGAAGCAGGAGGATCACAAGTTTGAGGCCAACCTAGAAAATCTAGTGAGACCCTGTCTCAGAATGAAAAATATAAAGGGGCTTAGGCTAGGGGTAGAGCATCCTGAGTTCAATGCCCAGTACCAAATTAATTTAATTAATTTGTCAGAAACATATTTTTTCCAGGATTCTCTGGGGTTTTTTTAAGCTACTCAGCTACAGGAGTATTATTCACTCCCTTCATATCCACATAGAAATCAAACAAGGAGGCAGCACTTATGAACATTCAAAGATTGCTTTACTTGTTTTGATGCTGTTGATGTGGTATTAAATCATCTTACACAAAATATGTGCTTAAAGTAGCAATGATATCTCTCATCTTTGCCAGGTACTAATGAACCATAGAGCGAGTCAATAGGAATGAAATTATTCAAAATTGAAAAGGAATTAGAATCTGAAGATTCCAACAGTAGTCTTTATAGGTTTCTAGAAAGTAAATTATTTTGTTTCTTGCAAAAGAAAATAGGATGATGAGAATGGGTCAATAGATTAAATAAAAGCAAAACATCCTTTAGCATTTGTGGTTAGTGCTAACTAAGACACTGTAAAATATTGTGCTTAGACCTTGGCAGAGCTGTCTTCATTGAGCTAAAACTGAATGTTATACTTTGTTGGTTTCTTTTTTTCTTTTTTCTTTTTTTTTACATATAAGTAATGAAAGAAATAGCCAGATAAAAACTCAACTACTTCTGCATATGCTGTAAAGCTGTTGAGGAGGACATCATCACATAAATTTTTCGATTTTATACTAGGGAAAAAAAAAAAACTTCATGTCCTCTGAAGAATGGATACACTTTCTAATTTTGAAAAATAGTGCTGGGGTTGAGGCTCAGTAGTAGAGCGCTTGCCTATCACATTTAAGACACTGGATTCAAAACTCAGCACCACATAAAAATAAATAAATAAATAAAACAAAGGTATTGTGTCCATCTACAACAAGAAAGAAAGAAAGAAAGATAGGTGAAAGTCTTTATAATAAAGGTCAAGTTTCCCTGGAAACTCAGAGCTGAAGTCTTCTATTCTTATTATAGCAAGGATGTTAACCTTAGAATTAGCATATATGCTTTCTTTGTATTTAGAATCCTAATTTGTCCTCTTTTGGTGGTATTTTACTAAATTATTATTTGTATCTTTTGTTGTAAGCTGCTTTTTGGAAATAGGAAACCTATAAAGAAATTTAATAAATTAATTAAAATGTATATTTGAAATTTTGATCTTGTTTGTATTAAAAATGTGCACATTGTTTTAACAGATGAAAGATAAAAAATATTTCACGTCTTCTAGCACATGAGGTTGGAAATCATTGGAAAAATTCATGCAATGAGTGTGAATTCAGCTCTACCTTCAGATTTCTCAGTTAACAAATCTGTTCCCAAGCTTTCAAAAGAAGGTAACTTCAGTTTGTACTATTTTTTTTTTCAGAATTTTGTAAGAAAGAACTGACTTCTTTTTTAAAAAAAATAGACTTTAAAACCAGTTTAGTTTCACCGCAAAATTCAAGTGAAAAGTACACAGAGGTCCCATCGACCCTTGCACCTACTCACACACGACCTCCCACTATCAGCATGCTGCACTACCGTGGTACATTTGTTAAAATCAGTGAATCTACACTGACACATTATTATCACCTAAGGTCCATGGTTCACATTAGGGTTCACTCTTGATGTTGTAAATTCCATATTTTAAAACCAATGTATGATGACATGTATCCATTATTATAGTGTCACACAAAATAGTTTCATGGCCCTAAAACTCCTCTTCTCCTACTCATTCCTCCCTTCCCTCTAATCCCTGGCAACCACTAATATTTTACTGTTTCCAAAAACTGACCTTTTAGATATAATAACATTACTGTGTTTATGTGTTGACTCTGTTTCTCTTGCCTGTAAAAGTTTTCTCCTACATAGTAATTGCATCAGAAAAGACAGATGAAGCAACATAGATTTGACAACACATAGTTTATTTTTCACAGTGATCGTAACAAGATTACCTGGAAGTGCTGTCATATGTGCTACCAGAGAAAACAGAGTCGTTCTACCAGTCCTTATTATTTATAATCCAAGACCATCTTATGAGTATATCGTTTGTCCATTGTATAAATACCTCCAAGACATCTCTGTTCTTTCTCTTTCTCAAACCAACTTAGGCTACCTGTTGTTCCACTCCTCTTTACTCTTTACTATTTACTTCATTTACTTGTGTTTTCCTTTTTATAATGCCAACAGTAATGGAAAGAAGAGCTCCATAGTTAGGACAGTCAGAAGGGATACAGACACCTTAATGGTTACCCACTTCATGCCATTTAGTCAAATCATGACAGAAGCAAGACAAGCTTTATATGTGCCCTGGAGAGGCTTTGTTGATCAACAAGATTTAAGATAGGTATTGTAAGGAAAAAATACAGAATGCACAAAGAAAGGATATAGAGTGAGAAGAGTTCCTAGAAGAAAACTCTAGGAAAACTAATATTTAGAAGACAAGCAGAAGGGGAGGCAACAAAAGTACAGTTTTGTGGCTGAACATGTAGCTCAGTGGTGGAAGGCTTGCCTAGCATGTGCAAGATGCTGGGTTTAATACCCAGCACCACTAAAAAATAAAATAGATAACTTTTCCCATTAATTTCCCTTGAGGGCATGAGGTACCTTTAGAAATTCCTAAGTAAACTTGTATATAATTTATTACGAAAGGATTAATATTTCTACTTATTGATCTTTTTTCTGAGCTAAGCAATGTGTTACGCATTTTATATTTATCTATAATCTTGCAGTAGACGTGTAAAGTGACGGGTGAATCCCCAATTTTAGGTAAGGAAACCAAGAATCAGAAAGATCACATTTAACAAAAAAGAAAGAACACAGAAGGGAATGAAAACTGGCACCTTGCTGTGCTTCATTAAACATTTTTGTTATACTTCCACATAATGTAAAGCATTCAAATAGCCCGGCAAGTTTCATTCCAAAAATAAATAAATAAATAATAGCAGTTCTTCACCCTTGTCCTCTTACCCATTCCCCTTCCTCAGAGGCAGCCAATTAAAACTCATCTCTAAATAATATACTTATATTGCTACTTCATGAATTTTCAGTTTCAGGCACATGTTAATTTTCTACAAAGGAAAATAGGAATTTGGGTCTTTTTTCTTCCTTTCCTCTCTCTCAAAAACACTCTTCACCGCCCCCCCCCCCCCATCTTCCTGATATAATTAGAAAATCACTTTGGAAAAATAAACTCTGTTCACATTATTTTAGCCATAGAGCGAGAAAGCTGTGATTCCTTCCTTTTCTTTTACAACATTTTATGTATATAACTTTATTTATTTATTTATTTATTTATTTATTTATTTATTTATTTATCTTTATGTGGATTCTGAGGATTGAACCCAGGGCCTTGCACGTGTGGGGCAAGCACTCTATCACTGAGCCACAGCCCCAACCTCAACATTTTGTTTTTCTTAGAACAAATAATTTTTTGTTTTACGTTTTGCTTAGTTGTTTTATATTCATATATATTTCCAGCTCCAAATTCCTACATTTAAAACACCAATTGGAATATTCGGGTATGTGACATATTTTGTCAATTTCATCTTCTTGGGGTAAATTCTTTCCACTGGATTTCTGATGTGTTTCATTTTGTACTGGTCACCTGCTATGTTTGAAGCACAGTTTCTCTCTTCAGAGCAAACACAACCTTTGCCTCTCTCTCTTGGATCTCTTACTTCCTGTCTTCTGTGTCTTTTTATTGTTTACTCCTCGTTTTGGTGGCATACATTTTCTAGCAGTTTCACAAAAAAAAAAAAAGGATATACAGAAGATAATTTTTTTTTAAAGAAAGAGTGGGAGAGAAAGAGAGAGAGAGAGAATTTTTTAATATTTATTTTTTAGTTCTCGGCGGACACAACATCTTTGTTTGTATGTGGTGCTGAGGATCGAACCCGGGCCGCACGCATGCCAGGCGAGCGCGCTACCGCTTGAGCCACATCCCCAGCCCCCAGAAGATAATTTTTTATCTGTATTTCTGAAAATTTCTTTATTCCAGTCTCTTATTTGATTGACAGTTGGAATTCTAGGTTGGAAATGATTTCCAAAGAATTTTTAGGACATTTTCCCATTATCTTCTTGCTTCTTGGGTTGGTGTTAGTAAGTCTAAAGCCATTCTGATTAGGGATTTAAAAAAAATTTTTTTTGGTTGTATATGGACGCAATACTTTTATATTATTTATTTTTATGTGGTGCTCAGGATCAAACCCAGTCCCCCAGACATGGTAGGCAAGCGCCCTACCACTGAGCCACAACTGCAGTCCCTGATTAGTGATTTTTAAATGTGATCTTTTCCCTACCTTCACTCCTGAAGCTCACAGGGTCTCTTCCCTATCCCTAGCTTCCTGAAATTCAAAAGTAATGTGTTCTAAGGTAAATATGTTTTCACCCACTGGGCTGTTTCACTCTAGAAATTTCCTTGGATTATGATTGATGATTTTCTCCATTTCCTCCAATTATGCCTTCTCTATTTTAATTCTAATCTCCTATTTAGATATTGGATCTTCTTAACTAGTTCTCCAGTTCTTGTAATTTTTTTTCTAATTGTCCACCATCTTTTATATTTTTGTTTGGTTTTATTTATTAGAAAATAGCTTCAAATTTATCCTCCAACCTTCCCATTGATATCTAAAAGCACACTTAAATTCTCAGTATTTCCTTTATCATGGCATTCTGTTCTCATTTTATAGTTGCCTGTTTTGGTTATCTCTATATCCCTGCCATCTAGAACAATGCCTAACCCAAAATAGGTCTCAATAAATATTTGTTGAATGAATGTTCAGTGTTCTTATAATTGAATTCATTTTCTACTTTCAGGCAATTTCATATCTATTTGTACTAATTGATGACTTAGTAAGATGTTGCTTCACTCTTTTCATATGTGGTAACCTTGCCTCCTTACTTAGGGTGTAGCTGTGTAATGCCCACTATTTGCTATGTATCTTTTCCTTGCACCTGGTTCAGTGCCCTGCCCAAAGGTGGTACTGCCCAGATGATTAGAGGCTACTCATGATCTCAAGTATGTACTAAAAAATGTTAATTTACCTTATAGTTGACCAGTAATTGAGAAGTAGCAAACCAGATGCCCTTAGGATCCAGGCAGTTCAGAGAACCAATAATTAATTATCAGATATGTAGGAAAATACTGTATTTTTTCTTGAAAAAATTGCCCTTTCAAGCTATTTTTCCTTTTCCTACTTAAGACAGATAAACACTGGGAAATAGGTTATTACCTATAACTGGAAAATACTATGAAACTAGCAGCTAATACAGTTTCAGTACTTAGGATGCAATAGAGAGTGGTGGGGCTTGTAGTTAAGTGGAAATAAATGCCAGTCAAAATGGGGTGGCCTTAATCTGTACCACATGATTTTGGTTGCCATTAATTCAGGGTCAATACTATGAGATTTTATGATTTAGAAAAAAGACACTTAAAACTAGAATCTCACATGAAATCTCCCATTTCAATACAAGTTAATTTTTTTCAAAGTACTTTTATATCCAAAAAAAATCATGACTATGGGCCAAATAGTCCATAGGCCACTGACATGGGAGCTCTGCCAGAGATTTTCTATAGTTATTGCTTTTATAATTTTGTTTAATTGAAAGGTAAAACATTAATTATGATCTGGTAGTTAGAGTGATGAAAAATTTAATTAACAATAGGAATGACCAGAAACCCAAGTTAAGATTAACCTAATACTGCATTTTGTTGTTGTTGTTGTTGTTTTAACTGAGGATAGAATCCAGTGGCACTGTACCACTGAACTACATCCCTAGCCCTTTAAAAAAAAAAAAAAATATATATATATATATATATATATATATATATATATATACACACATATATATATAAATATATAAAATATATTTTATTTTGAGAAAGGGTCTTGTTTTGCTGAGGATCTTGCTAAATTTCTAGGGCTGGTTTCAAACTTGTGATCCTTCTGCCTCAGTCTCTAAATTGCTGGGATTATAGGCATGTGTCACCAATCAATCAGCTTTTGCTGAGGCTGACTTTGAACTCTCAATCCTCCTGCCTCAGCCTCTGAGCCACTGGGATTACAGGCATGTGCCACTGTGCCCGGATCGACCTTTGGTTTTTGGGGATTGGTTTATTTCACTTAGTATGATAGTTTCCAGTTCCATCCATTTACCAGCAAATGCCATCATTTCATTCTTCTTTATGGCTGAGTAAATATTCCATTGTGTATATATACCACAGTTTCTTTATCCATTCATTTGGTGAAAGGCACCTAGGTTGGCTCCATAGTTTAGCTATTGTGAATTGAGCCTCTATAAACATCCATGTGGCCATGTCATTACAGTATGCTGATTTTAAGTCCTTTGGGTATATGCCGAGGAATGGGATAAGGGGGTCAAATGGTGGTTCCATTCCAAGTTTCTTGAAGAAGAAACAGGATTTCTTTAGGTGCCTTTGCAGGAAATTTTCAGCAGTCCATCTGCCTTCATAAGCTTCTAGGCATAAAGAACAGGTTATCTATAGGAGAAAAGTAACCACTGTCAATAGTTTCTTCACCTGCAATGCTTGGATCTAAAAGATAATGAATCGCACATATTAGGCAAGATACACCATTCTTTAATACAAAGAAGAGAAGGGAGGAAGGGAGGAAGGAAGGATATTTAAGAATTATCAGGAATTCATATAGGTCTGGGGATGTATGTCAGAGATAAGAGTGCTTGCTTAGAATGCACAAGGAACCCTAGCACCCACAAGAAAAAAAATAGTTTATCACTCAAGAACCCTATCCTAAGAAAATGTTTGAGAAAATACTTTAATTTGACTACAAAGAAATAACAAGAACCCCAGTATAGGAAAATAAACATTAGTAGGCAACACACCTTGATCTTTGCTCTCGCCTATGTTTTCCCTTATCTCCCATTTTGTATGCACACCTACACACACACACACACACACACGTATCTCAAGTGGATGTGGTAATAATGTGTGGGAATGAGTAAAAGTTAAGAAATAAAAAAAAAAGGGGCCAGGTATGGTGGCACTCGCCTCTAATCACAGCAGCTAGGGAAGCTGAAGCAGGAGGACCACAAGTTCAAAGCCAGCCTCCGCAACTTAACAAGCCGTGAGCAACTTAACAAACCCTATCTCTAAATAAAACATAAAAAAAAAAAAGGGTTGGGGATGTGGCTCAGTGGTTAAGTGCCTCTGAGTTTAATCTCCAGTACCAAACATAAAATAAAATAAAAAGGGTGGTATACCATTAAGGGAAATTATAGTAAATAGCAACCTGTCTCGGCAATAGGAGGGCAGATTTGGGAGAGCAGCAGATGTGAAGGGGGGATTAAAGGCCTTCCAAAGGAGTGTCTGAGGGGTGTGTGTTGGGAGAAGTAATAGGATCCTAAATTTTTATCTTATGGGGTAGGAAGGTAATAAAAGGAAAACAATGTGTTGTAGAATAAATAGTGCATCCGGTTTGGGGAAATATTTGCTACATGTTGAGAATCCCTAATTGAAAATCTACAGTGTTCCAAACTCTGAAACTTTGGAGACCTGAGCTTGACAACATTCTAATAATCTATGCAAATATCCCCAAATATGAAAAACTCCCCCAATCTGAAGTATTCTGATTCCAAACACTTTCAATAAAGGATATTCAACCTATGTCTTAGTTTCAAATAATAATAGAACAATATGCATCTCATTATTGGACAGGAAACGGAAAGGGAACCACTAATGGAATGGAACAGATGAACTCTTAACAAAATTGGAAATAATAAAAAGGTGGCCAAAATATTTTTTTAACTTCTAGAATATAAAGGTACACAAAGTGTGTTGGTATTTGGTGAGGAAAAGATCCATTCCCACACACAAACACACATTCAGTTCTTCGTTTCTACAGCAAAATTTATTGAAAGAATTCTCTCAGAAAAAAGTTTACTTCTTTGGGTTTAAAAATAAACTAGATTTTATTGTGTTTTATCAAACAGTGCTTTAGTTAAATACAAATGTTAACCATCAATTTATTGTGTTTTGCATTTTCCCTTTACAATTGTTAACTGACTTAATGCAACAGTTGCATGTTTGGAATATTTTCCTGACCAGTTCATATTTACAGTTAGGCAGCAGTTGGATTCAAAGCAGAAATGATGAGCCAAGATTAACTATTCCAAAAGAGATACTCTTTACTGGCATAGTTAAATATTATAATCAAGAGAGAGAGATTGCCTATTAATTGATGAGTATGTTGATATACATTTAGGAATTTTTCAACTTTTAGGTAAGAGAGGATGCTTTAACTGTAATTTTGCATAACAAAACATTGAAAAATATATAATCTGAAATAGAAAATGTGTATTATATGATAATTACATTTTAATAATTTTTCTTTTATGGTATCAAGGTACTTCCTGGAGTCTTTTTCTTTTCATTTCATTTCTATTGCCTGCCCTGTAACTGTACTAGCAAATGCAACTAACATAGTGTAGGACATATCTAAGATACAATATCACAGAGATGTTATAAGAAACATGTATTTTTATTTAGGTAGTATAAGAATGAGAGAACCGAAGTACCTAGAGATACTAATTTCTGATGTATTAATTTGGTGACCCTTTAGCAAAATAAAAGTTAAATGACATTATATGACTTTTTAGCTATGTATATAGCCATATAATTTCATGTTGCACACACAATACTCTTTGATAATGCTAGGAGTAATTACACTGCATATTATATAATTTCCTGTGTATTTGAAATGTTTTATAATTTAAAAAATTTTAAGTGAAAAAAATGTAAATCGGGGCTGGGGTTGTAGTTCAGTGGTAGAGTACTTGCCTACCATGCGTGAGGGGGCACTGGGTTCATTCCCCAGCATCACATTAAAAAAAAAAACTAAATAAACAAAATAAAGCTATTTAAAAAATGTGAATCAGGGGCTGGAGTTGTAGCTCAACGGTAGAGTGCTTGCCTTGTACACGTGAGGCACTGCGTTCAATTCCCAGCACCACATATAAATAAGCAAAATAAAATAAAGGAACATCAATAAATAACTAAGAAAATGTTTTTTTTAAATGTGAATCAAATATAGCACCATAGCATTTTTTTTAATACTTGGGTTTGAACCCAGGGGCACTTTACCATTGATCTATATCCCCAGCACTTTTTATTTTTAATTTTGAGACAGGATCTCACTAAATTTCTTAGAGTCTCACAAAATTTCTAAGGCTGGCCTTCAATTTGAGATCCTTGGGCCTCAAGCCTCCTAAGTCACTAGCACCATAGCATTTTAATCTACTATTAAGTACTCTGCTCTATAATTTTTCTCCCATATTTTGTTGTCTTGTAACACACATAACAGAAAATGAGAAAAGAACAGAAGCAATACAATTCTAACATTGTTGTTGCCCAACATTCGAGAAGAATTACAATGGCTACCTACTTTTATGGCTATTGCATCAGAATCTGATGCCTACAAGTTGTAAAAAAACAGATGACAAAAATTGCAATAACAGTTGTGGCTCAGTGGTAGAGCGCTTGCCTTGCATGTGTGAGGCACTGGGTTCAATCCTCAGCACCACATAAATAAATAAACGAAGGTATTGTTTTATGTACAACTAAAAAATTTTTTAAAAAAATAAGCAATTTACTGAGTACTTATAATGTGCAAAATCTGAAGGAATACTGTCTCCCCACACTTGCTAAGAAGAAGGAAACTAACTTAAAACAGTTTCAGTATTTGCAAGTATAATGATTAATTTATTCAACCCATTTCTTGTGTGTTACTATATGCTGTTCTATATGCTGTTACTATACACTGTTCTAAGTGCTTAAAATATATCAGCAAACAAAACACAAAGATCCAAGACCTTGGGGAGCTTATATCCAAGAGGAGGAAGACAAACTAAGTTATATACAAATAAATCATCAAGTCATATAGTTTGGTAGAAGGTGAAAATACCTAGGAAATAAAGAGCAAGTTAAAGGGATTTATGGAGAGGATAGGACAGGGATGGGCAGTTGTTTTCAGTATTAAACCTGATGGCCAAGTTTGGACTCACTTAGAGAAGGAGATCTGAGCAAAAACTGGAAGGGTAAAGAGAGTCAACCAAGTGGTTGGGGAGAGAAGAAGTGTGTTTGGGCTGGGAGAATGGCTTCCAGAGGAGGGGCCATGGTGTCATGCACACTTTGGTGTTCAGAACAGCAACAAAATGGTGAATAGAGGGGAGAGATATAAGATGAGATGAGAGATGTGGTGATGGGTACACAGATCACAGTAAGGCCCTCACAGGCTAATGGAGGCTGGTTCTCTTTGGAATAAGACAGAAGATTATTGGAGAATTTGAGCAAAGCAATGGTAAGATTTGACTAACATTTATAAAGATAACTCTGGCTTTTGTGTTGAGAATAGATTATAGAGGAGCAAGGGCAAAAGTAAGAACACCTTTTAGGAGACTGAAATAATATGAGCAAGAGATGTGATGACTTAAAACAGAGGGCAGCAGTAGAGCCAGTAAAATATGGTTAGATTCTTTTTTAAAATATTTATTTTTTAGTTGTAGTTGGACAGAACACCTTTATTTCACTTGTTTTTTATTTTATTTTATTTTATTTTTTTATGAGGTGCTGAGGATCGAACCCAGGGTCTCGCACGTGCGAGGCGAGCGCTCTACCGCTGAGCCACAACCCCAGCCCCGGTTAGATTCTTAATATACTTTAAAACATTCTAGAAAAAAAAATTGCTTTTAGCCTCACTACTATTTTCAGTACCAGACAGTATTTTCAGTGGTGTTATTTCTCCTTAACATCTGTAAAGAATTTCGGGATTTAGAGGGAGGGAGAAAGGAATGGCATGGGGAAGTACTTAGGAATTAAATCTACCAAATTATGCCATGTCCAGGTTCAAATATACTGCAATGAATCCTGTTTCTATATAGAATTGCTCCTTCCATTTTTTTTTGCTTAAAAATTATAAAGAAATATACTCATTCAAATTCTGTAGCAGTTCTGTCAAACAATAAATAAAGCTTTCATTACTTAAGTGAAAAAGGTAATCCTAAGTATGTAATAGAGTCTCCCATTAACCAAAAATTTCATATATAATTTACCTGCAGGGTGGGTCCCAGATTCCAATTAGGAATTTAGAAAGAACAATTCCTCTCCTTCTTCTTCTTTACCACTCTTATCCTTTTCCTCTAAATGAATTTCCTTCTTTCCTTCATATGTCACAGAAGTTAGAAAGCATTTTTTTTTCCATTTTCCCACCTCCCACTCATGTTACAAGTACTAATGTCATAAAAAACATATTAGTTAAAATTTTGTAGCAGACCACAAAGGGAGAAAAGGAACTTAACTTGGGCTGGAGGAGGAGGGGGTGTAGGATCCAGGAAGCAGGGAAAAGGGCTCTGATGACTGGTTTCCAGAGATAAGAGGCTGAGGTATTTCAGGGAGGCTGAATTAAGAGTATTTATATAGAGGTTCTCAAGCATGCTAAGCTTGTTTCTGTTATAGGGCTTTATCTGGGCTGTCTAGTGTCTGGAACATTTGTCTTCCAAATCTTTCTGGGCTTATTTCTTCACAGCTGTTCAGATCTCTGCTCAAAATATTACCCCTCAGAAAGATGGAAGCCCTATGGGCTGGGGTTGTGGCTCAGTGGTAGAACACTTGCCCCTCATGCTTGAGGCATTGGGTTTGATCCTCAGCACCACATAAAAGTAAATAAAGATATTGTGTCCATCTACCACTAAAAAAATGTATTAAAAAAAAGGAAGCCCTAATTATCTAAAAGAGTGGTCTGCCTCCTTTGCTTAGCCACATCTGGCCCAATGTATTTTTAAAATTGTCATTCTGTCCATTGAGACTATAACTTTAAGAATTTGATCTACTTACTTGGCACCTGAAATAGCACCTAGCTCATAGCAATCACTCAGTTTTTATTGAGTGACATGATGAAATAATGGGGACAGCTTCATGACTAGAAAGTGGCCAGACAAGTAGCCACCTGGGAGCTATGATGAAGGGCTGTCTGTATATGAGCTTCAACCCTGCAAGAGCTGGGGTATGCCCTCTGTAACAATATTAGCTGAGGGATTATTTTGCTAGATATGTGTTGTAGTCTGGGATTACCTTTGAGGAAACCAAAATTGGAAAAGAAGAATAACTATTTTAAGAAAATGTTTTAATGTTCAGAGCCACTGTATATATATATGGACCATGTAATTACAATGTAAGGTTATTTAGACAAGTGCTATTATGGAAGTACAAATCATTTTTATTATGGGCGAACATTTCACTAATGATGATAACATTTCACTAAGCTAGTTTCAAATATAGCAAATACATGAACACAGTAAATTATATTTTAAGAATGCTAAAAAAAATGTTCAAGTATTCATACCCTTTATAATTCAGAGGCCTTCTATCACCCACCCCCTCTTCCCATCTGTAGTTTCCTCTTACTCTACCATTGGTTGAAAATAAAGATTTTTTTTTCTATGTTGAATTCTTAGCTAGGGAAAAAATCACATTAAGTATTTGGGAATCCCCGTTTTTATGTAGACACCAGTTATTTCATTGGATCTGGTTGATAAGAAACTTCAGAAGCTTCCGCATGGAGAAGATTCAGATGCCATATCCAGGTATTGATTCAGACTTTTTCCTTCTTTATTATTAAGCATCTGTTGTTGGTAAGTATGTTGAAAAAGATGCCAAAAATGAACATGTAATAAATATATAATGTTATAAAAAGTGGTGATATTAAGGTTATTTTTTAATATCCCCAGGGCAAGTTTTTCTCTACATAGTTGTTTTTGGAAACCCTTTGATTACTTTCTTGTAAGAAGGTGAAAACTTTATCATTGCTGCTCCTGATTCTTATCTCCCCTTCAGTTATCCTCCCATGCCTGCTTCTTTCTCCTGTACTGTTGTCTCTTTTTCCAACTCTGTGATTCTCTTTCTTTTTCTTTTTCTTTTTTTTTTTTATTCTCTCAGCCCTGCCCCCTTCCTTTGTAGGGAAAGGATCAAATTTTATAGTGAAGGAGCTGAACCATCCCGGACCCAGTTAAGTAGACTCCATGATTCTTTTCAAAACACAAAGTCTTATGGGGAAACCAAAATTGGAAAAGAAGTATTAACTATTTTAAGAAAATGTTTTAATGTTTATAGCCACTGTATACATATGGACCACGTAATTACAATGTAAGGTTATTCTACTGATCTGGATCCTTAACTTAGAATTTTTAAAACTTTTTTTTTCTCTCTCTCTATATATTTTTTTCTATATATATATATATATATTTTATTTTTATGTGGATTTGAGGATTGAACCCAGTGCCTCACACATGACAGGCAAGCACTCTATCACTGAGCCACAGCTCCAGCCCCCCAGATTTTTTTTAATACCAATAAAACTTCAAAATATTTTTCAATACAAATTTCCCAAGATTTTCATGTGGGAGTCTAATAGCATAATAGATATATTGTGGACACTAAAGCCAAAGGGTCCAAACAAGCTATTTTAGTAACCCCTTTGTGTCTGTTTTCTTACTTAAAAAATGGGAACACTACTATACTACTTTATATATACTGCATATATAAAAATACATATGTATATGTACTATTTCATAGTATAGTTGTTAAGTATTTAATATTTATATCATTAATACATTAAAACTAAGTAACATTTTTCCTAAAAATATAAGATTCAAAGGCATTATTAATTTTTAGAAAAAAAAAACATTCACAGAGGAGGTCACAAATTCATTTGCTTCTATTACTTAGAATTTCTCAGCCAGTGCCATTTTTTATCATTTCCTCTTCCGCATGGAGAAGATTCAGATGCCATATCCAGGTATTGATTCAGACTTTTTCCTTCTTTATTATTAAGCATCTGTTGTTGGTAAGTATGTTGAAAAAGATGCCAAAAATGAACATGTAATAAATATATAATGCTATAAAAAGTGGTGATATTAAGGTTATTTTTTAATATCCCCAGGGCAAGTTTTTCTCTACATAGTTGGCAACTAAGGAACCCATTAGGCAGTCAAGGAGGTATTGAAAGTTATTTTTAAGAAATCGATATGACCAGATTATATTTAGATAGAGCACACTAGCAGCCATGTGGAGAATGGGTTGGCAGTGGGAGTGGAGGAAGTCTTAGGAGATCTCCTACTGCCAGTGAGAAGTGATGTGGGCCTGTTACTGTGGCAGAGGCACGAGATGAAGAGGAGGGGACAGGTTTGAGAACTATTCAGGAGGTAAAATGGGGAGTGCTTGATTCCATCTGGGGGTTAGGAGGAAAGCTGGCTCACAAATTTTTGACTCTCACAGGGCAAGGTCTATAGTTTTAGTACTTGAGAGGCTGAGGTGGGAGGATACTTGAGACTAGTCAGGGAAACAGCAAGGACTTTGTTTCAATAAACAAACAAACACTTAGGTTTTAAGTCAGGTGACTACCATCAATTCAGGGAGAAAAATAAAGAGAACATGTTTAGGGAGATGATTAAATGTGTTTGGGGCTTTTGATTTAATATATGTGTGGGACATTCTGGTTAAGATTTTCAGAAGGGCAACTAGATGTACAATTTTGAAGTTCAGGGGAGAGATATACGCTAAAAATAAATAACTGGAAGTCATGGATCTGTGGGTGGAAATTGAGGTCATCTATTGTCTATTAAATAAAATAAGAGGTCCAAGGATAAAAGTTTAAGGGACACCAATAGTCAAAGTGCGAGCAAAGAGAAACCTACGAATGACAGAGAAGAAATGCTAAGAAGAGAATGAGAAGTTATGCTCATAAAGTCAAGGAAATGAAACATTTTAGGATGGAGGGTCCTATGTAGCTGGTGATCAGGACTGCCACTGACTATCTGGAGCCAATTAGTAAAAGCTGTTTTAGGAGCTGGAGAGGCAAAAGTCAGGTTGCAGTGAGATGAACAGGAATGAATGGACCATGAAGAGTAGGTATACGAGAAAGAGAAGAGAGGAACTGGGCAATAACTGAGGCAATGCTAGGGCAAGGGAGAGATTTTAGAATATTGTTCTGCTGGAGGAAGGAATCAGAAGAAAGGGGACATTGAAGGAAAAAAGAGATGGCTGATGGAGCCAGGTCCTGGAAGAGGCAGAAGGAAGTGAGTTCAAGGGCATGAGATCAAGTGTTTTCCTAGAACAGGAGGAGCAATATTGGAATAAAGGTGGTAGTGTATGTAGATGTAAATGAATAAGTATGTCCAGGGATAGGAAGTTGAGAGAGATCATTAAGTGCTGACTCCACTGACTCTATCTTCCTTGAAGAAGTAGGAGGAGACTATGTTGCCATATTCTATACAACATAGTTGTAATATAGTCTCCTGAGAGGATTGGGGGAAAGCATTAAATGATGACATGAGAAGGGGATGGTTAGAAGAAGGATTACATGGTTAGAGGAAGGATTGGAATAGATGGGAAAGGAACTGAGAAAAGACTAATACATGGATTGATGAGTAATTCTGAGTATCCGGATTAAGTAGGAGATTACAAATTTTAGTGGTGCCAATCAGACAGAAGATTTTTCTAAGCAGCAATTATTTACTTGAAAATGGAACCAGAATAGGTGGCTTAGCATATTGATCAGGAGATTCCGTTTTGCCTTGTCAGGTGTTGTTACAGAAGGATAAGAATACAAGAGAATTGAAGACATGTTAATGAGACAGTGTTTCAGACGTTGAGATATGTCTGAGTTGAATGAGAAAGAAGAGATACAAAGAAAAGTGGCACATCAAGGTTTTATGTTCTGAGATTATAAGGCATTGACAGAACTAAAGACAGTAAAGCATCATATTAAAGACCGCAAGTCCTGCAAGGTGACAAACCTGATTTCAGATCCCAGTTCAACAACTTGCTAGTCATGTGGTCTAAACTTTTCTTTACTCTAAGGTATGGATGATAATGCCTACATATTTACATCTTAGAGTAATGAATATTTAATGAAAAAATTAATGAAATCTTGGCACATGATAAGCATTCACTGTCAGCTATTATTATTTTAAGGTGGTAGATTTTGAATAGAGTTGATTACAGGGGTTTAACTTTTCAGAGTATCGTCATTCCAAGGTATTACAATAGGTGTGTTTAGGTAAAGGCTGTTATGGTGAAAATAAATATGGTAAACAAAACAAAACAAAAAACTGGTATTAACAGGCTTTAGGATGCCTAGTTGAGAATTGCTTTGGTGTGTGAGGAGGCTGAATTTTCTTTATCAGCATAGGGAGAGTGAATGTTGACCATGGGTCAACACAGCTCAGAGAACAGTGCAAAAGAGTTCAGATTCTTTGTGGTTTGAACATGCCTCAGTTTATTAACCATGTTACTTTAATTCTTTATGTGTACCTCTTTCAACTAGAACTGTAGATTCTTCTCCCCTACTTGGAGTTATTTTCAAGATGAAATTTTTTAAAAAAGAAAGAGTATATTTTGCTTAAGTATAGACCATTTTGTAAAGAAACAGTACTATCATTTTGGAGCAAAGAAAGTATGAGCATAGGTATTATTACTACACTTTGAAAAAAAAAATTAAGTGCAGTCTAAGGCCAATTTGGATAAGTACATTTTAGTTGTCATTTTTTAAACCCACTTCTCCAATTTTAACTTTTTTCTTAAGGTTTCACATTTTGTCAGCCCATGACAAACAAGGAGTTTGAAAAACTAAAGGGAAGAACAATTCAATAGCTTCACCAGATGGCTCTTGAACTTAATAGTAACTCCAGCATCTCTTTGAAACAAACAAACAAATTAATTAAAAACACCATCCAGGGCTGGGGTTGTAGCTCAGTGATAGACTGCTTGCCTCACAAGCATGAGGTACTGGGTTCAATCCTCAGCACCACATAAAATAAATAAATAAAATAAAGATATTTTAAAAAATACAAATAGCCAGCACGGTGGCTCACACCTGTAATCTTAGCAGCTCAGGAGGATGAAACAAGAGGACCACAAGTTCAAAGCCAGCCTTGCAACTTAGGCCCTAAGCACCTTACCAAGACCTTGACTCAAAAATAAAAAAAATAAAAAGGGCTGGGGATGGGGCTGAAGTTATAGCTCAGTGGTAGAGCACTTGCCTAGCATGTGTGAGGCACTGGGTTTGACTCTCAGCACCACATGAAAATAAATAAGATAAAGTTATTGTGTCCATCTATAATGTGTATATATATATATATATATATATATATATATATATATATATATATATATATATATGTATGTTAGTTACAGGCTGGGGATGTGGCTCAGTGGTAAAGCGCCTCTGGATTCAATCCCCAGTACCCACTCCCTGCAAAAAAAAAAAAAAAAAACGCCATCCAGAAGCTTTAAATTAACATTTCTGGTTCAACAAACTACAAGTAATTTGTAAATATCAACAGTTCTATGGTGTTTTTTTTCAAATTGCCATACTTACATTGCAGACAAAGGATAGCTCTAAGTATTTAAACATGATTACATGTTTAAAATGTCAATAATTTTAACATTATAAAACGTTATTAATGTTAATTTTTAACTTTTAAAAGGAATAGAAGTTAGTCTTCATGTATGTTCTTTCACTTAATTATTATGTTGCTAAAATTGCTTGCTAAAGGTACTATTAACAGTGTGCTGTGGCACACACCTGTAATCTCAGTGACTCAGGAGGCTAAGGCAGGAGGACTGCAAGTTCAAGGCCAGTCTTGGTAACTTAGGGAGACCCTGTCTCTAAATAAAAGATAAAAAGGGAAGGTGAGGGCTGGGGTTGTGGCTCAGTGGTAGAACACTTTCCTAGCATACGTGAAGCACTGGGTTCAATGCTCAGCACCATATAAAAAAATAAACAAAATAAAGGTATTGTGTCCAACTAAAAATATATATATATTTTTAAAAAGGACTGGTGACGTGATGTAGCTCAGTGGTAGAGTGGCTCTGGATTTAATCCCAGTTTTTTTAAGTGCTATTATTAGGGATTTAGTATAGTTAATTTCCTTAGAATTTTTTTCTCACAGGAGAACATTTCATACGTGAGCCTTCTAAAGAAAACTTGCACTCTTAACTTTCATTAAGATATTAATTTTAAGCTACTGTGTTAGGCTGCTATATAACTTAAGTCATTTGAAATCCAATAGAAATAGGGAAAAGATGTATAAAGAAGATTAAAGAGACTACAAATTTAAAACCCCAAAATACTTAAAATAGGTGGGTGTGTAGCTCAGTAGTAGAGCACTTGCCTAGTACACAGTCTTTTCATTCTTAATCTTGAGACAGTGTTTTGCTAAGTTGCTTAGGGCCTTGCTAAATTACTGAGGCTGGCCTCAAATTTGAGATCCTCCTGCCTCAGCTTCTGGAATCACTGGGATTAAAGATATAAGCCACCATGCCCAGCTATTTTCCAAACCTTATGGATAAACAATTAAGACATAATATTCAGATTTATTTTTACACTGAGCTACACCCCCAACTTTTTATTTTGTATTGTGAGACAGGGTCTTACTAATTTGCTGAGGCTGGCTTTGAACTTGCAATCCTCCTGCCTCAGCCTCCTGTGCTACCGGGATTACAGGTGTATGCCACCATGCCCAGCTTAAATATTTACATTTTAAAATGACAGCATTAAGCTAGATTACTTCTGTTTCTTCCCATTTAAAAAAAGAAATTTAAAAAAGCAGAACAATTCTATGACACTAGAAAAGAATTGCCCTTATCTGTGTAAGGTTTTTTCTGGAGCTGGGGAGGATATTCATATATTTCCAGTGGAAGAACTGAGTGACTAAAGAGACAAGAAAAACACTGGAAACATGCAGTAGACTATCTGCAACAGAACAGTGAGAAGTCTCCTTATTAGGATAGTTGCCATCATCTTAATGTGCAGCATGAATCAAATGGGGAATTGCTAGGGAATCACTATGAACGATGGCCACGTTGACAAAAGTTTTAAGGATATTAACATGTCCTTGGATCTGCTGCTCAAAAGATTAAAACCTTGGCAAATATCTATCCTTTGAGTCTGTTTTTTTAATTTCTAAAATAAAAATATACATGCATAGATTTGTATTTATAAGATTAGACCAGACAATATCAAAGGGGTCTTCCAATACCCTGTTGCATATCAGTCTGTCTGTGAATGGTAGGCTAATTGAGGAAAGTATATGATGTTGTGATGAGAGTAACTGTTATAGACCTGGATCTACTAATTATTTGGGTTTAAAGGGAAATAATTATCAGGTGAGTGCTATAAATTACGGTAAAATAAAATCTAAAAACAGTATAATTACTACAAGTTTTTCAGAATGTGTAAATATTTTATTATTAAGTTGAATGACAATTCCTGCAACACTCTCTAATGGAGCTTATTTTGAGATAGATGTGTCTTTATCTATAGATACATATAAAGATATACTATTAAACTTGTTTACAAAGGATAATTGACTTTTATTTTTGTATACATATTTGCATAAAATCAGTGAATTTCTAGGCCAGGTTCTGGTAACTAGAGGAAGTATATTGTCTAGATCCAAGGTATGTTGCAAACATAGTCTGAAATGGGAGATAACATCTTTCTGAAGAAAGGCTTAGAAATTCGAATCCAGTAAGTTTAGGTGTTTCCTTTCGGTGGTAGCTGGGCTGATTGATACCTGGCTGCTAGGTCACTGCTTATAGGCATAGCCATAAAAACAGGGTACAGACTTCTAAAACAAAATGGAATCCATTCCATGTCATGCTACAGGTTTCACAATTCAAATCATCTGTACTCAAAGGTAAACTTTCAAAATCTTTGGAGGATGCATTCACTGTCAAAAATCGGAACACTAGAAGAGGAGCAGCGGCCTGCTGAGGGGCAGAGCCGCCCCCCACCCCCCGCGCCTGCCAGGTAGGCGGAACTGTGACCACTGTCAGAAAAGGCCCAGTGGCCCACGGCGGGACAGAGCTTCCAATCACTCCTGCAAGGTAGGCGGGCCTGCAACCCACCGGAAGAAGAGGAGCATCGGCCTGCTGAGAGGCAGAGCTGCCCCCTCCCCCTGCGCTGGCAAGGTAGAGGGAACTGTGACCACCCACAGAGCAGGCACAGAGGCCTGCTGAGGGGCAGAGCCGCCCCCCACCCCCCGCGCCTGCCAGGTAGGCGGAACTGTGACCACCGACAGAAAAGGCCCAGTGGCCTGCGGAGGGGCAGACCTTCCAATCACTCCTGCAAGGTAGGCGGGCCTGCAACCCACCGGCAGAAGAGGAGCAGCGGCCTGCTGAGAGGCAGAGCCGCCCCCTCCCCCCGCGCCTGCAAGGTAGACGGAACTGTGACCACCATCAGAACAGGCCAGACCTGCAACCGACAGACAGAACAGGCCCAGTGGCCTGAGGAAGGGTAGAGCCGCCCCGCCACCCGCGCCTGCAAGGTAGGCGGACCTGCGACCCACTGGCAGAACAGCCCCAGAGGCCTGCAGAGGGGCAGTGCCGCTGCCTGCGCCTGCAAAGTAGGCAGAACTGCAACCACCGACAGAACAAGCCTAGCGGCCCGCAGAGGGACAGAGCCGCCGCCCGCACCTACAAGGTAGGCGGACCTGCTACCGACCGGCAGAGTAGGCCCAGTGGCCTGCCGGCGTGGTAGGCACATTGCCCCAATTGGAGGAGGGGCAGAGCCGCCGCCCGCGCCTGCGAGGGAGACTTTGCAACTATACAAGACCAATATAAATATATAGGGGGAAAATTCAATAGCAAAACAATTTCACCAAGTAGAAAGGAACGCGAACAGTATGAAGAGACAAGGAAAGAAAGGACCACAAGCAATGCAGGTCAACTCAACATTAGAAGAGGTAATAGCTGCAGCAGATGGAATGTCAGATAAAGAATTCAGGATATACATGCTTCAGATGATCTGGAGTCTCAAGGAAGACATCAGACAGCAAAATCAGACAATGAAAGATCACTTCAACAATGAATTACATAAACAAATCCAAGAAGCAAAAGATCAACTATACAGGGAGATAGAGGTTATAAAAAACAAACAAACAGAAATCCTAGAAATGCAGGAAGCAATAAACCAACTTAAAAACTCAATTGAGAATACTACCAGCAGAGTAGAACACTTAGAAGATAGAACATCAGACAATGAAGATAAAGTATTTCAACTTGAAAAGAACATAGACAGCTCAGCAAGACTGTTAAGAAACCATGAACAGAACATCCAAGAAATATGGGATAACATCAAGAGACCAAATTTAAGAGTCATTGGGATACAGGAAGGGACAGAGTTTCAAACCAAAGGAATGAGCAATCTATTCAATGAAATAATACGAGAAAACTTCCCAGACTTGAAGAATGAGACAGAATCCCAAATCCTAGAAGCCTACAGGACACTGAATGTGCAAAATCATAAGAGACCCACACCTAGACACATTATAATGAAGATGCCCAACATACAGAATAAGGAGAGAATTTTAAAAGCTACAAGAGAAAGGAAGCAGATCACATTTAGGGGTAAGCCAATCAGGATAACAGCTGATCTTTCAACACAGACTCTGAAAGCTAGAAGATCCTGGAATAACATATTTCAAACACTGAAAGAAAATGGGTTCCAACCAAGAATTGTGTTTCCAGCGAAATTAAGCTTCAGGATGGAAGATGAAATTAAAACCTTCCACGATAAACAAAAGTTAAAAGAATTTGCAGCTAGAAAACCATCTCTTCAAAACATCCTCGGCAAAACATTACAGGAAGAGGAAATGGAAAATAACAATGAAAACCAACAATGGGAGGTAGGACAGTAAAGGGGGGAAAAATAATCAAAGAGGAAAACAAACCATGTTTAGTAACATAAATAAACAAATATGGCTGGAAGAAAAACCCATATCTCAATAATAACCCTAAATGTTAATGGCTTAAACTCACCAATCAAGAGACACAGGCTAGTAGAATGGATCACAAAACAAGACCCAACAATATGCTGCCTACAGGAGACGCATTTGATAGGAAAAGACATACATAGGCTGAAGGTGAAAGGTTGGGAAAAATCATATCACTCATATGGACTTCGGAAACAAGCAGGAGTGTCCATACTCAAATCAAATAAAATAGATTTCAAGCCAAAGTTAATCAAAAGGGATAAAGAGGGACACTACATACTGCTTAAGGGAACCATACACCAACAAGACATAACAATCATAAATATATATGCCCCAAACAATGGTGCAGCTATGTTCATCAAACAAACTCTTCTCAAGTTCAAGAGTCTAATAGACCACCATACAATAATCATGGGAGACTTCAACACACCTCTCTCGCCACTGGACAGATCTTCCAAACAAAAGTTGAATAAGGAAACTATAGAACTCAATAACATAATTAATAACCTAGACTTAATTGA